ATTAATGGGTTAAATTTACAAAATAAAAAAGAGAGTGTTGATTTCTTCTCTGTTAATTACTATTTTTCTGTTATTTAGTACTACAATTTAGTGGTATTCCTTTTTACTTATAAATGAGAGATTTTAGATTTGATTCTTGTTAAAGGTAAATTTAAACCACATTATGCTAGTTTATTATGAGACTAAGTTCATCCATCTCTTATCCAGTTCTCATATATTCTCATCTTCTTCTATTTTGTGCGGTAATAGTTAAACCACATCAAAATTTTATATTGATTTTTTTATAGAGATAATAAGATAAAAAATAATAACGATATAAAATATTAACGTGACTTAATCGTGATAACACAAATAAAAGAAGATGAGAATGTATGAGAATTAGGAGGGTAAATAAGTCGGGTTCATAAAATATTGGTCCCGTCCCATGGCATCGCACATTCCTAGATCTCTTTAGTGCCGTCGGATATGAATTGTTGTCAATTCCATGGAGAATGAGGATCCCGATGCACTAGCACCAGCACTACTTTACTTTGGTATCAAAAATCAACTTAAAAGAAAAGGAAAAAGAAAAATAAAAAAAAGGGAGGCAAAGCAATGTGTGCCAAAATAATACTTGTGCCTAAGAGACAGACAAGCACAGGTATCCCAGCTGAGGACCGGCTTCTCTACTCTCCTACTTTATATACATTTTCATTCTTTTTTATAAAGATAATAAGACAAAAAATAATAGTAATATAAAATATTAACGTGATTTAACCATAACTGCACAAAATAAAAAAGGATAAGAATGTATGAGAAGTGAGAGGGCATAGAAGCCAGGTCCGAAAGATTCCTCCCAAACCGATCGACCAATAGTATTGCAAGTTTGGTCCGAAAGATTCCTCCCAAACCGATCGACCAATAGGATTGCAAGTTTGGAACCCTCCCTCCTCCACGTCGACCCCCAGTCTCAGTCCACACCACAAAATCCGACTGCGTTTTTTCTTGTGTTTAATTCCTTTTTTCTTTTTGCTGTCCGCTAAGTTTACTCCTTCTATTAGTATAAATTACATTTTTTTGTTAAAAATTTTATTTTTCTTTTAAAAAATAGTAATTTGTATCCAAAAGAAAAGTTTAAGGGAGGGAGGTGTAGTCAATTTGGATTTTAATGGATTTTTTTAGGTAACATATTTTAAAGGATTTTAATAAACTCTACAATTCATTTACAATTCCATATGGATTTTGACAAATTTATGCAAATTTCTATTATAGATTTGTATGGATTCTTTCTTAAATTCCCTAGGATTTTAAAACAATTCAGAAATCACACACAAAGCCGTGGGATCATTTTTAATAAAATCATGTGGCTGAGATTAACCTCTCCAACTCTCTGCAATTGAAACCCTAATTGTTATGTGTATTCTACTACACCGTCTGAAATCACAGTCCTCAATCCAAGGACTAGTTAATTGCATATTTTCATACCATAGTAATAGCACAAACTAATAACGTTTAGAATGTATATAGGTTGGAGGAATTGATCCAACACAAGCCAAAGAATGTGTGTTTCGAGAGTGACGTTGATTGGTTTTAATAATGAATGGTGACATTTCAAGGGCACCAAAGCAGAATTGAACAAGGTGTCTTCTGCAAATAAAAGTACAACAAAGATAGGAAGTAGTTGAAGGGAAAGGAAGCATTAGCAAGGGAATTTACATGAGATGTTTGGGCAGTTGGTGAAGAAAGAAAAAAAATGTTGGTGGTGCTGTGACATCTTCTCATGCCTGCAAAGATTTCACGATCAGCCATGGAAGTCCAAGGCGGCTAAGTTCACATCATGTCCTCTCAAATGGAGAAGACTGGTCCTCTGGCGTGAAAATAAATCTGAGGGGTAAGGGTTAGATTCTTGATAGCATTTGGTATTTATACCACACACCCTTAAATCCATTAAAATCCATCACTCATCAAAATCCTAGCAATTCCTTGGCAATTTCATTACACATAGACATCTACAAACTCATTCAAAATCCTAATTGACTATCCCTGGATTTCGATGTATTCTTTAAAATCCTATAAAATCCTAATTTGACTACACTCTGATTTCAAAATCTTTTAAAATCCTAATTGAATACACCCAAATTTTAAAACCATTAAAATGCTATCAAATCCTAATTTGACTACACCTCTTAAGATTAGTAATTAGTATAGGTAGGTCCGGAGTTAGAGGGTCTTAACCTTGGTATATTTTTGTTAGAGCAACTCCAGCGTGGACATTTGACCTGTGGACTGGCTGCAATTGCAATCCAATTGCCTGTCAAAGTGACGCCAGCCCATTCGGGCTATTGAGCTAAAGAGGAGCCCGTGGGAAAGCTCAAGCACGAGCCCATTGCCCGAGCGCCTGAGGGGGTTGATGCAAGCTAACATCAGCCGCGTGGGGTGGGGGGCATCTAAAAAAACGCAGCTCTCGTAAACCGAAAAAATGTAACCGAGCTTTTCATCGGAGACATTTCACGGCGTCGGAGATTGGCATCTGTGGTAGAGGAGGCTCCGGGAGTGGTGAGCCACTAGAAAATTGGCGTCGTGGACCTTGGCATCGCAGTCCCAGCACAGCATCACATGTTCCTATGCGCAGAAGAAGTTGAATATCAGAGTGCGTAACGAACAAGATTACAAATAGAATATTATTAAATAAACGAGAATGCCGAAACGGCTACAAAACCCTAAGAAACTACATTGTGAATGACTTATCTCTAATGAATAACAAAGCATCCTATTTATAATAAACTAACTCTAATCTCTAACAAAACCTAATTCTAACGGGCTAAGCCCATAAAACTAAACATTCAAATAAACCAAAATACTAATATTTTCTAACACCCCCCGTCAAACTCATGGTGGTACACGACATGAGTTTGCCAACAGACGATGTGGATGTAAAACTCCAAATTCCAGTGCCGATGCAGATGCCAAACAAACAAACAAAAAATCCAACCAAATATTTTTTTTCTTTTGCCCATATGGGCCTTAAACTAACAGCAAAACAAAAAAATCCAAACAATTTTTTTTTTCTTCCTTCTTTCTTTTTTTTTTCTTCTGTGCGAACCAACAACATCAGTCTTTCTTTTTTTTTCTTTCCTTTTCTTCTGGGTTCACGGTGCAGATGGTGCGGTTGTCTGGGCAGATTGCAGTGCGAGTGATCGGGTCTGTGCAGGCGTGCAGAGGGTGGGTGAGGCAGAGAAAGTGCAGTGGGTGGTGACTACAAATCTGGGTGTGGATGCGGATGCCTGCGGGTTCGAACGGGGTCGCAAAAGCGCGTCAAGCTGCAAGTGTAGTGGTGCAACAGTGGTCCTGTTCATTGGACTTGGCTGCAATGATTGCAGCGGTTCGAGCAGGTGCGAATTCAAGCGGTGCTATGGTGCAGCGGGATGGTGATGGTCGGGTGCAATGGTCAAGCGGTGACAGGGCATCGACTTCAAGTGCAGGTGCGGTTCAAGCACATGGTTCTGCAGATCCAGATGGGGTAAGCGCAGCGGAGGTGATGGCAGATTCAACTTTTTTTTTTTTTTTTTAACAAAGTAGACCAATGACAATCTAAACAACGAACAAGACAGACAAACAAATTGATACGAATCAAGGACAGATTAAATCCCGAAGGATCAAACCTGCTCTGATACTAAGTTGAATATCAAAGTGCGCAACGAACAAGATTACAAATAGAATATTATTAAATAAACGAGAATGATGAAACGGCTACAAAACCCTAAAAGACTACATTGTGAATGATTTTTCTCTAATGAATAACAAAGCACCATATTTATAATAAACTAACCTTAATCTTTAACAAAACCTAATTCTAACGGGCTAAGCCCATAAAACTAAATATTCAAATAAATCAAAATACTAATATTTTCTAACAGAAGATTCTCTCCGAAAGCCGGCAGAGCTCACAGTTCTTCATCTCTCTCTTGTTCATGGAGTGATATCATAAATAGTAGCCTGGGATTGTCGTTGTTTGTAACCCTACCCTAATACAGTGGGGAAACTAATATGTATTATTATTAATTAGCAAGGTCTTCTCTTAGTTTTGGGAGATGTTCAAAATAGGTATATATGTAAGATTTAAAGTCCGACTATTCCATAAATAACTATAGGCTTTTGCTTCGTTAGAAAGATTTTTTTAGTGTATCAGAAACGCAGCTTGGAACATTAAATGCTTTGTACATATGTACTACAAAATGATGGATATGAGCTGTTACATATGCAATGTAATTATATAAGTATTATATACATATATTATATATGTAAGGACTAAAGGGAGAGAACCAAACGAAAGCAGGTAGAATTACAAATGAAGCCCTGCGCATATCAAAATACATTTAACTAGTCGTTGTGCAGCTTATAAAGTTAGCACCAAATTATATTGAAAGATTAGCAACACCTAGTTGGCTGAAAAGCAGTGATATCAAAATGTCGTAGACGTCCAAAGCCGATCGTGAATGTAGTACCAGTACTGGTGGCGCCGGAAGCACTAGTAGCGGATACCGCGATGATCTGCAGCCACAGCATGATGAAGATGACGACAATGATGAGTACAGAAAGGACTACATGAAGTGCAACACATCAAGCAGTAGAATAGCCCAGATTGAGGAAGCGGAAGAGAAGAGGTGTAAGACCAACTATTCAGACCAAATTTTGTAAAACATAACTTGATTGTGGATGATTGAATTATTATATAAATATTGATTAACGTGCTTATTTTTTAGGGAGTTTTAATAAAACACTCTCTGTACTTTTCATTTTTAACAAAAAAAATCACATTTTTACCTTTTGCTGGTACTATTCACTACACATTTATTTGTCATTTTTCATTAAAACTAAAAAAAAATATTGAACTTTTTGTTAATTTTCCTTATTTTTTATTGGTGACACGTCACATGATTTACAAATCTAGTCTAAAAAGTTAGTTTACCTAGCATTCTAGTTAATTAAGATCCAACCTAGGCCGAAGAAGTCTAATACCATGTAGAAAAGGATTTTCCTTAATTATGAAAATGTACAGTAGAACGATATTTATACAGGGATTACAAAGGTAACAGCCCTATACTAATTACAGCGTAAATTACGGGCTCATTTGAGGGTACTTTTTAAAATAACTAAAAACGCTTTCGGTGAAAACGTTATGAAAACTAAAAATCTAAGTGGATCTAGAAAAAGTACTTAAATGCTTCCCGCAAAAACCACATATCTGGTGCTTCTTTCAAATGACACTTCAAATACTATTGAAACCCAAAATCAATTTCACCAAAAACTTTTTCGACCATTTTAAAAGCACTTCCCAACGAGCCCTACAAATAATTGTCATAACAAAAGCTGTTACAAAACTCATTGAATTGATGATAAATGTTGCAACTCGCTAACAGAAACCATTTGCAGTCGATAAACAACTATTGCTAAAAGAAATCGAACTCCAGATAATTATCAGAACCCTTTTGAACGGGAGAAGCGATTGTGGGGGTGGGAGGAGCCTTCTCCTTCTCGCTTGATGATGCTGTTGGGGCTGGTATCCGCTCAATCTCAACAGGCTTTGGGATATCCGGTGGGGTAGCACAACGTATCAATGCCCAATTTACACCTTCAAAGAAGGGATGTTGCTTAATCTCAGTTGCCCCTCGTTTATATGCCAATCTGTGCTGCGGTTCCTTAACAAGCAATCCCCTTATGAGATCCCTTGCTGCAAAACTGACAACTGGTGATTCTGGAAACCGGAGAGGTTGACCCACAACATTGAACAATGTTGCACGATTCCCGGAACCTTTAAATGGAGTTTTACCAAACAACAGCTCATATAAAAAGATTCCAAAAGTCCACCAATCAACAGCACTTCCATGACCTTCCCCCTTGATGATCTCAGGTGCCAAATATTCATGGGTTCCAACAAATGACATAGACCTGGCATCAGTTGGCTCAGCAATCAGCTCAGGTAATGGTCTAACTTGGTTTCCTATTTCGTTTTTAGATTTTTTGTCCTTCTTGGACTTGCTAGAAAACAGACGTGGTCCAAAGCATGTTGTAGGAGCTACACAGGATGGTTGGATACAGGAAGGTGGCTCAATGCAAGCTGGCTGGACACAATACACAGGGTTCTTGCGCAAGGGTTCAAACTCCATTGATGATGTTTTGACAAGAGTTGGACTAACAGCACAACGGAGGGAAAGATCAAAGTCAGAGAGCATTATATGACCATCTTCCCTCACTAGCACATTTTCCGGCTTAAGGTCACGGTAGACAATCCCAAGCATGTGGAGGTATTCCAGAGATAGCAGGACCTCAGCAACATAGAATCTGCAAGCTCCAAATGAAAATCAACTTGTTACAATCAAAAGCTATGCACATGTACTATTTTAGTCCTGGCGACCACAAGATCATTGCTCAAATTGATTGAAGCAATTGTTTGCAGAAACCAAGATACATTTAGACTGATTACATCAAAACACAACAGCACTGAAACCCTTAATTTTTTAACATAATATAAGTCATCCCCCCCCGCCGCCCCCAAATTGCCACATGAATGTACAAAGAAATATCTTTTAAGATAGAAAAGCAAATGGCAAAGGCCATAGCCTATCAGTAGCTCAATATCAATTATAGTCTTGCTTCATTTAATGCCTTTACATGATAACCAAGAGCATTTTCTATAAGTGTTTAACTTGGAGCATTTTCAGTATACAATGTTTGGTTAATCACCTATGGCTAAAAGGTAAAACCACATCCTCATTGAGGATTGACTTGCTGCAGACAGACTCTATATAATCTACATAGGCCTGACACAAAGCTTAAATATAGGACATTATCTGAAAACTTTCATTTCAATTTTCAAAACAAAACCACACAATCTAGTTTACCAAAATAATCTGGGATGATATGAAGATGAAACAAAAGATTCTTGTGAAGCAAAATGAAGAGAACCACATAAATGTGTGCAATTTAAATGAACATACTTTACTGCCTGCTCAGAAAAATGCTTCCCTGGCTGCCTCTGCCTGAGAGTGTGCAAGTCTCCTCCAGGACAGAACTCTATTACCAAGCATGAAAACTTGTCTGTCTCAAAGTGGGTATATAATGTTGGAAGGAAGGGGTGATCCAGAGATTGCAGTATCTCTCTTTCTGTCTGAGCCCGAAGAAGCTTTTTACGACTTGCTAGAGACCCTTTGTCCATAACTTTCATTGCAAAATAACATTTTGTTCCACTCAGCTCTGACAGATAGACACTTCCAATATCCCCACAGCCTAACCTCTTCAGCAGTCTGAAATGACCCAGACCCAGAGCCCCATCTCTAGTTCGGACAGCTTGAATAGCTTCCCATCTCAAGTCATTTGCTTTGTGAGGTTTGCTGATGCTGCTACTAAAGCTGCTACAGGTGCTCTCATCACTCACATCACTGCCAGTGCTTCCTCTACACATACTGCTCTTGCCACTCTCAACAAAATCAACTCGATCACTAATCTTAGCACTTCCACTGGTCTTGGCAAGGCTGCTTGTTCCATCGCTCACTTTGGCCGAAACTGAACTGTCCTTCACACTTCCATACTCTGATGTCTTCTTTTCTTGATCAACAGAACTTTCAAGTGAGCCTCTAGTCTCATTTGCAGTAGAATCTATTTCCCTTGTTGCCTTTTCAAGGTTGGATGACATTGACAATGAAATTGAATTCAATTTACTAATCAAGGAATCCGCAGATCCTTGTTCATTAGAATTTGTTGACCTTTTATTATCAGAAGCGTCTACTGCAACCTGCTTTGATGAGTTTTGTACAGATTTTGGTAATTGCTCCGGGAGCAATTGCCTGAGATCATTAGTTTCTACCGTCTGCCCACCAGCTGCTTTCTGTTGCATTCTTGAGGAAGCTCTGGTACCAGATTTTGAGGCCATCGGATTTCAGAGGTAATGGGGGTTATCAAGCAAACTGAAAAATTTCATTGCCCTCCCCCACTCTGGGCAACATTGTAAGCTCCATTAGCAGCCCACATAGTCCCTTCAGATGCGATACATGTATACCTTGTGTATCCTTTCAAATCGGAATTGAAAAGAAAGACATTGACTGCAATCATTAGACAACCAGCTCCTTCAAATGACCTCAGGAAGTAGATCACACAATTGGTAAAGCATATAATCAAGCAGAGAAGGACATGCAGATTGCAGAGGCACCCCTGACAATGGAGGATCAGATGATGTTGATTCACACAGATATTAATGATCAGATAGAGTGCATTAGCCACCCCCTTTACCCTTTTACGCTTTACCCACCCTCCAATACATATACAAGGAAGAGGCAGAACAAAAATTACAATTAAGGAAATTGAAAAAGAAACTGAAGAATTGAATGATATTAGCATAAGCAGCAAGTAAATTCAGGTAACCAGATAATGCAGTTTCTTTCTAGTGTCTAGTTTTATAGAGAAATAGTAGTAGGCGTTTCGTTAGAAATGGAAAATATTAGCATAAGCAGCAAGTAAATTAAGTTGATGAATCATGAGGGGACAATTACATAGAGCCCAGATCTATAATCTCACAAAACCGAACCCTTCAGCCAAAACCAAGATAGATCCAAAAGCACAGACACACCCAGATGCAGAAAGCAAGTCTAGTCTACAACGCATAGCCCATCAACGGAAAAGGAAAAGTGTGTCTGTGAGAGAGAGAGAGAGAGAGAGAGAGAAGGGTAAAAATGATTACCTGAATTGAAGGATCAGAGTAACGGAGGAGGAGGAGGAGGCGGCTTTGGTTTGGCAACGGAAAAGGAGAGGCGCTGTAGAAAGCGCGCAGCTCACAGCATATCAGTTGATGCTTGTGGGGAGAGCAACTGAGGGAGCAAAAGGGAAGCTTGCTTGATTCTTTCAGAGAGAGAGAGAGAGAGAGAGAGAGAGAGAGAGAGAGTAATAAAACAGACAGACTGGGCCTCCTCCGCTTCTGCTGGTGGTCGACTATTAGATTTAGGCGGAGAAAGAGAGAAGTGTCAAAGAAAGAAAGCTTTAATATATTATTATATTATTTTTTTCTCATTGGGTTTGTTTTTTTCCTCCCAAAAGTAAAGGGAAGGGTCCGATCACCAAACTGGTAAGAGTCGCGAGTCATGCTTGCCTCCCTCTGAGGCTCCTCCTGCCCAACTGCTTTCGTGCACTGCTTGAAAGCCGAGCCCCCACACCTCACTGTTTTTCTTTACCATTTTCTAGTTTCCAATTTTGTACTATAAATAAACTCCATCTTGCTGCGGAGACTTTCTATAATAATCATTGTATGAGCTGTAGGAATATTTGAACGGTTAGATTCAGATTGTCAAAATTTGGACATGACATGAAGACAATATACGTTAGCGACGTAATATACATGAATTATTTGATTTCTAATTCAATTAAGAGTGCATACAACACAATGAATATATTGATCAAATTATGTGAATTTAACTTAATACATTTTCCAAATCAAATGCATCTTATAACATCTCACATCGTCCAGGGAAGTGATCCTTAAATGTATATTCTCATCTCTACCTAGCATGAGGCCTTTTGAGAGCTCACTGGCTTCAGGTTCCGTAGGAATTCTGAAGTTAAGAGAGAAGGAGGCCAGGTCACTCCCAAGATGGGTGATCCACTGAGAAGTTGCTCGTGAGTTCCCAAACACAAAACCGTGAGGGAATGGTAAGCCCAAAGCGAACAATATCGTGCTACGGTGGTGGAGCGGGCCCGAGAAGTGGTCCCTCCCGGGCCGAGATGTGACGAATGGTATCAGAGCCTAACCCTGGTCGTGGTGTGCCGACGAGGACGTCGGGCCCCTAAGGAGGGGTGGATTGTAACATCCCACATCGCCCAAGGGAGTGATCCTTAAATGTATATTCTCATCCCTACCTAGCACGAGGCCTTTGGGAGCTCACTGGATTCGGGTTCCATAAGAATTCCGAAGTTAAGCGAGAAGGAGGCCAGAACACTCCCAGGATGGGTGATCCATTGGGAAGTTGCTCGTGAGTTCCCAAAAACAAAACCGTGAGGGAATGGTAAGCCCAAAACAGACAATATCGTACTACGGTGGTGGAGCGGACCCGAAATGTGGTGGACCCCGGGCGAGGATGTGACACATCTACTACACTAGAGTAAAACAAATATATGTAACACAGATCAAACATCTGGATCAATCTCCATGCAAAATAATTTGGTAACAAGAGAAGGTATACAACTAGGTTGATGTTTGCCTAATTTGGTACCTATTATGCCGTATCATATTCATATGGTCAATAAATTTAATGGTTGGTCGATGACTCGGGGATGAGAATGTTTGAGAACGTATGTATGTATTGTGTATACTAAAGCTATTATCTGATCGGGAGGATCAGAGCAATATTTGATAAGAAAAGATGTTAATTAGTACGTGTAGAGTTTGGTCATTTAAGGTTGTCAACTACGACTGATTAGATCGACACGCGCATCTTTTTCCTCCACATCCATATTTATTAATAACTCAGGAAATTATCTTCTTTGTTACGATATATGTGTGTGTGTGTGTTACGTGCATTTGTTGTTGCCACATCTACAAGGCAACAAGCAAGGCCCCAAAACCTAAATGCTATTTTTCTGATGGGACAAGCCATCTCATCAAACTCTCAATCTCTTTACCGTAATACATATTCTTTCTTTTTTTTTGTAAATTGTACTACTGTTTAGTTTTTTTATTTGCATGTATAATGTTTTAGGTTTGACTCGTATTGGAGACGAGTTTAATACCACATTATTATGACAAACCTATTACGTAGTTAAATTTAAAATTTTCACTTTTTAGTGTAAATATATAATTTGATTAAAAAAAGTAGTGGTTTGGATAAGTTATTCCTTGTGTTTGCTTATTAATTAGGAAAGCAAAAGATGGTTTTCACAACTGTATTTGGTCCCATTTGACTACGAAATCTTATCAATTAGTTTTTAACAAGGATAGTACTGTCAACACATGTTTTTTTTTTTTTTTATCTCTCATGTTTTTTTTTTTTGTTAATTTTTGTTCACCTACTTTAGTTCATTAGATTTGATGATAAAAATTGATTGAAATGTTTAAACAATAAAAAAAAAAAATTGGTTCACATCATTCTTTTTGTTACTCCATTGATTAAAATCTTATTCATTTTTAATTTTTTATCAAGGTTCTTGGGTATTAATAACATCATTAATTATTTGAATAATAAAATATTTTTATTTTTAAATATATTCCTTTAGTGTTAAAAATGTTACAATTAGTATATTTATATTTATGGCTAAATTTTTTATCATATATTTTATTTTTATTTTTAGTTTGTACCAATTTTTAATTTTCTTTTCATTTTTAATTTGTACCAATATTATTTTTATTTTTAATTTGTACCCATACATTAGTTTCTTTTTGTGCCCATATTTTTTAAAGTTTTATTTGTGTTTGTACCCATGTGTATACCATCACGTGACATTGTATATTTAATCAATGATAGAAAACTTACATATGGTATATTTATGTTTTATGTGTAAACTTTGTATCATATATTTATATTTTTAGTTTGTACCCACTTTTAATTTGCAACATTTTTTAAAAATTTGTAGTATTTTCTTTTTAGTTTTATTTTGTACCCATGTATTAATTTCTTTTAGGGCCTATATTTTTTAAAAATTCATCTGTACTCATAATTTTTTAATCTTTTATATGTACCCTAATTTATTTATAATGTACCCATTATTCTTTATTAATGTACATATGTGAAATGTACCAATTTTTTTTGTAAAATGTACCGATTGTTTTAAACACTATGGATACATTCTTTTTGCCATTATATTATTTCTTATTTTAACATAATTTTTTTATCCATTTATATTTCAATCAAAAATGTTTGAATTCTTTTATTGTAACTGTTTTTAATAGTATTATAATAAGAGATTTTAAATTTATAGGATTATAAATCTCATAAAATATCATCAAACAATTAATGTCAAAAATATATAAAATATAAAATAGTAATATAATAAGGTGTACAAAGTCAAGGGACTTTGATCAAACTTTGAATATCATTAAGGTTTTAATAAAAGAATGTTAAGAATTAGAGACCGCATCCAAAGTATCCCTAAAAAAAATGTGTGAAGGCTAGTTATATGAAAAGAGTCCACATTAACAACGAACAAAAAATAATACAATATTCAAACAACCTTGAGTCTGAGATATTTTTGCAGTCCATAGAATACGTCCCTCCATATATATCTTGAAGAAGGGATTTCCAAGTCTTCTCCCGTCTCTGGCAAATTCATATCCACAACAATAATCCGTCTTCCAGTTTTTTATTGACAAGAATGATAATAGGGGGGCACTAGAAGTAATCGTCGTGTTTCATTTGTTTTTCTGGGCAGCATGCACGCTCGATCGGCATTTATGAAGGAGTTGTATGTGTTATACATACATATATATATATATATGTATGTATATATATATGTATGTATGTATGTATATATATATATATATGTGTGTGTGTGTGTGTGTGTGTGTGTGTAGCTATGCATGCAACAATTCCATATTTATCCCCTAAATCATTTAGACCAACAAATCGATCCCTCTAAAGTGACTCTAAACCAACCAGTGCATACCAACACATGCAAACTTCTTCTTTCTTCTCGTTTTATTTTTTGGAAGAAACAAGAAATAAAAATTGTAGTTGTTAATGAAATAATTAATTGGTTATATTCAACTTCTAACATTAGTCATATGATTTGCCTTGATGATCGTATTTTTTTGTTTTTCTTTCAGTATATGAAATTCAAAACTAGAGGGCAAGCCAATTGGGAATCTTAAATACCTAATTCACAAAAAACGACAACGAATCTATTTTGGCATGCGATGGACTGATTTCTTTTTTACCATTTTTTTTTTTTTTTTTTTGCTCTCTTTTGTCACGGACAACTTTGCAGTTCTATATATTTCACATTCAGGTTGTCTCTCACAAGTCAACCATATACACAAACAAGATGAAAGTACTTTTATAATCAAGTTTTCGTAAAAATACAAACAAAATATTTAAAAAAACACTTAAAATATATGCAAGAAGCAATATAACTGGCCTCATTAGGCTTATATTAACATGCGCTCCTCTTCACTTTACAATCAATTAAAATATTTATATATATTATCAGAGAGAATATTCAATCATCAACCACACATCACGGAATTTACAAAATATGATAAAAAAAGATACGATTTTTCTATAATAAACACTTTATTTTCTTTAAACAAATAAAAAATGAAAAGCACATAGCCCCATGCACGCGCACGCACACACACTTACATACATACATATATATATTTGTATTAGTTGGAGCTAGTTGCATTCTTGGCATCATATCACATGCATCTTCACTTATCCAAATCTTATTCAAAAAAGGAAAAGTGCAGTTTCTAACTTTCTATTCACTGCTCGTCCTCATTTGGTTTCACTATTATACGTAGAGAAACGCTAGGAATTTTTCTTTTAAAATGAAACTTTGCATAGATCCTTCACCATTTTATCTTCTTGACATAGTACGTTATAATATTGACATAAAATTTGTGATAAAAAATAAGGCAACATAAATTTTATAAAGAATCTGACTCTAAAAGAATTTTCTTAACATTTTTCTTTTGTATTAACTCACTGAATCCAACATACTCATTAGAGACTATTGTTTACTGGTTCAGGAGAGTTAATAGAACATGACACGTTGCGTACATGTGGTATACGGACCCCATCCAGTTACAGAGGCAATTTCCAATTTTGCATTACTTCTGTTCATATATAATTACATGTAGGGGTGGGTTCAAAAAACCGAAAACCGAAAACCGAAAACCGAAAAAAATCGAAAACCGAATTGAAAAAATCGAACCGAACCGAACCGAATTCTTTTGGTTCGGTTCGGTTTTAGTGATCTAGAAACCGAACCGAATTAATTAAATTAATTTTTTTATTTAATTATTTTTTTGGGTATTATTTTCTAAACCCAATTTGTAAGTTAAAATGTGCTAAACCCAATGTGTTGCCAAACTTTAAGCTCAAAATATTAAAAAAAGACCTATAAAAACTCTAAACCCTAACTTATTATTTCTCCCCCATATAAGGTTCCAAAACCAAATCTCTTCCTGAAGTACCTACATCCATCTCCATAGCACTGTCTA